ATGTGGTGTGGGTGCAGTGGTGCATCGGCCACCTCACTGACGCTGACCTTATCGCCTTCCTCCATCGCTGCCTGGTGCGTGCTCGATAAACAGTCGAGGCTTACTTGCATTGAATCTGTAACCTGGAAAAGTGGTGCTGTTTTTGCTGCTGTTTCCATTCCACCACTCCTCCACTCCCCACGTCACCTGCAACTCTTCCTTTCTCCGTCCCTCTCTCTGCGCGTACCCTGCCCCTGCCTCGCTTGCAGGCAGGGCTGCGGCCGGGCGGCATTATAGTGCTCAAGGAGAACACGTGCCAGAAAGGTAACTCTGAGTGGTCCGAAAAATCTTAGTGGTGGGGGAGAGCACGTGTCCCAAAGGGCACCCCAGTTTTCTCGTCCTTCCACCCCACGCCGAGACATGTCACCCCATTCGTGCAATACCTGACTCGGGGGTTGTAGCTGTTGTGGGGTGTGTTTTCATCTGTCATGATTAAGCCTGGCATCATTGTTCTCGTGTGGGTGGGCGTTGCTTGTGTGTATGGGTGTGTGTGTTGGGGGATGGGTGGGTGCGTTTGGACTGTATGTCTGCATGGATGCATGGGTGTATGGACTTCTGCATGCCTGCATGGGCACATGCATGGACACATGCATGCATGCAGGGTTCGTATTGGACAAGGCGGACAGCAGTGTGACGCGCAGCGATGCATACTTCAGAGACCTCTTCAAGCAGGCCAATTTGCAGCTCCTCAAATCCAAGGTACTTGAATCTGAGGTTCTTGAATCCAAGGTACCGTACTTAAATCTGAGGTACCGTACTTAAATCTGAGGTACCGTACTGAAATCTGAGGTACCCAACTCCAAGGTGTGTAAGGCCACCAACGCACCCAACTCCCAAGGTACTAAGTCTGACGTCTCTTAATCCAAAGCAAGGTTCTCAACCCCGAGGTACCCATGTGTCAGAAGGAACTGCCACCACATGTGCTTCTGCTGATTTGATCCCACCTTCCATCAGCACACACACCTTCATCCCGACCAGCCCTACCTCTGCTGTCCTCTGCTCTGCTCTCTCGCAGGTGCAGCGCGGGTTCCCCTCGGAGCTGTTTGTGGTGAAGGTGTATGCCTTGGCAGCACAGCCCACGGCAGTCGGGGGAGTGGCGGGGCGCACACGGCAGCGCAGCAAGAGACCCAACCAGCCGGCTGTCATCTACTGACAATGACTATGAGATACCGCTTTTGCTGCCTGCTTGCCTGCCTGTCTGCCTGGCTGGTGCTGCTGCTGCCTGCCGTTCCATTGTTTAGTGCTCGCGGGTGCAGCAGCTCTGTTATGCATCCCATGCAATGAGAGAGTGCGTGAACAGGTACATGCTGCTTGCTGCAGCCATCTGTCAGATGGAACTGTGCTTGTGATGAACAACTCTGCCTTGAAAAGTGTACGCATCTTGCTCATAGAATCACTGGTGAGACACAACGTTCACTGCTATACGAAACAACATGATTCGCATGGGTATCCAGGGTGCCACAGGGACATCATCAAGCGTTAGCATCACATCACACTGCACCATTAGTGCGCCATGCCATCACTGCCCCATCACCGTGTCATCTCTGCATCCATGCAGGCTTTTTGAACTCAATGCTCATCTTGCTGAACGTGCTCTTGAGCACGTGGTGAGCGTGTGCAATGTTCTGTGCATGCACACTCTCCTGCACCGCCGGCTCGTTCAAGGGCAGCCAGAAGCTCCCGTCCTGCTCTTGCTCCTCCGCACCACCCCCACTGCCATTCCGCTCCTCCCTCTCTTCCTCCCGCAACTCTCCTGCAGATGCTGCTGCTGAACTATCTGATTCAGCCCCACCTACAGTCACACTGTATCCCTCACCAGCCCTGCCCCCGTTCTCAGCATCAGACAGGAGCGCCCCAGCCTCCTGTCCCCCCAGGCTCGCAGCCCCAGCACCACCTGATGACAACCCTGCCTCTGCTCCCACCTCCCCATTTTCTGCCTGTCCCTCTGCTGTTGCCCGCGCACCACCCTCACTCTCCCCTGCTTCTCCTTCACCTGCTCCGTCTCCTGCTCCGGCATCTGCATCTGCTGCTGCTTCTACATCTGTCGGCACATCAGCATCATCATCTGCTGCCGGCACCACCGGGTCCCTTCGTCGGGGGCTAGCAATAACAGACGCAGGGATACCCCAGAAGGCCTGAGATCGGGCGTCATCGGCGCGCATGGCTTGGCTGTACGCGGGCAGCTCAAAGGCCCACGTGGAGCGGCCTCCAAAGCCCTGGTCCAGATGGTCCAGGTCGAAGATCTCTTCGAGCTTGGCGATGGTGGCGGGCTTGCTGGGGTACACAAATAGAATCTTCTTAAATGTGGTGGGATCCACGAAGGGCCGGATCATCTGGGTGAAGGGGAGGGGGTGTGCACGAGGAGAACGTTCAGGGGTGAAGGTGGGAGCGTGGGAGCATCTGACCAGTAAGGCCAGGGCATATGAGGAGCATGTGGAGAGCATGTGGGGAGCATGTGAGAATGGAGCAATCAAGGCGTGGGCAATCCCTTTTCCTGAATCCCAAACAGCATAGCACCTCCCCAGGCACCAGCACACCCGGCATTAACCTTCCACGTGCACTGCACAAAAAAGATACCCAACCCCAAAAACTAAACGACTATCCCAACTCGCACACCCCCCCAACTCACACGCCCCTCTGGCCCCACCTTCCAGAACGTCTCAAAGACGGGCGGGGGGTCGTAGACCACAGCCTGGCCGAGGCGCTCGGGGTAGTGGTTCTGCAGGATGGAGAGCACCTCCCTTGACGTCTTGAGGGGCGGCGCCTTGCGCAGCGTCCAGCCGCGGAAGTCGATGAACCACACCATGCGGCTGTGCGCCGTGCCCGCTGGCAGGTGGTTGATGGCGTTCTCCAGCGCGTACACCAGGTGCCGCACCTGCCCCGCATGCCCCGCCGTGTTCTGCGCTCAGAGGACGAGTGTGAATTGGGGGGTGCGGCATTGGATGGAGTCAATCAGCACCTTTCCTGTGAGTCGAATCCGTTGAGATAGGCTGCCAACTCGGAATAAGTGGTTGAGCGTGAATGAGCGGGACAAAGTGTGTGATCAGGCTGATCTGAAACTGGAAAGCCTGTCGTACCAGATGAGATGTGCGGGCAGATGGGCTCACCTGGCGACCGGCGGACATGACAATGACGGCGCGGCCCTGCTTGTCCAGGAATTCCGTGCGGTACACCTTGCCTGTCGCCGCCTCTTCCGCCACGTCCTCCTGAACCACCGCACATCCCCATAAAAAACGCTCGTGACCAGGCTGAATTTAACATTTAATTTTAGAAAAAGTTTACGAATTTGCGCGAGGGGCTGTCCTAGATTCAGGAAGCGTTTAAGGGGTAACCGCGGCCGTACCCACGTGATCTCTTCTGGTCGGTACACGTGTCGCCAGCGGAGCGTGTCGCGGAGCATCTTCTCCGCCTTGGGCACATTCCAGCCGCGCGCGCGCAAGTAGCGCCGCAGGCACGCGTCCGTGCAGAACAGCTTCGCGCGCCCCGCCAGCGGACCGATGGCTTCCCGCAACGCCTTCACCTGACCAGATTCCGAAGAAACATAGTCGGGAATAGGGTATCGGATGAAACCGTCGAGAGCAATCGTGTCGCTGATCCCTCAAGATCGATCTAGGCCTGTCGAGATTGCAAGGCGAGGCGCGGAGCGGTAGAGACTCGGTCCTGGCGGCAATGAAACCGTTACCTTGGCCTCCTGCTCCTCGGGAGTGTCGACCGGCTTTTCCGGCGTGAGCAGGTTCGGGCTGCTCACGGCGGCTCGGAACGACGCGAACTTCTCCTGGCTGAACGCCTCTAGCTTGTCCGCGAACGTCGCTGGCGCTGGCTTATCTGCTTTCTCTGATACGCCTGTTTTCTGGTCAGATTGATCGGCTTGTGACGTCATCATGACTCTGTCGCTACTGAATCGGGCAGAAAGCAACTACTGATCACCAGAAGCTATCGTGCAGTGCCTAGGTTGGCTTACGAGAAGCTATTCAGAAAGATACCTGACTATCGGTCAGCTATGAAATCTGCATAATCCGATAGGAGTAGAACCATTGGTGGAATCAGTGGTGCCAGCCTAGATTCCTCAGAGTCGCCTTGTGTCGTCAATTCAGTCGCCCAAGCTCTGTTACACATCTCGGGATCGTTAACGAAGTCGTACACCGTCGCTTGGCAGCGTGCTTGACTTGTGCGACGACGTGTTACAACCCGTCAAATTGTCGACGATTCTCCAACCAGCCCAATTTCGCGACCCTGAGGAATCTAGGTTCTCCCAATTTCGCGATGCTTCGCCAAACAGCCCAACCCCGAGGTCCATTCCATCCCATCCCATCCCATCATCAAACCCTTGCTCCCACCCATTCTCCTGACACACAGCCGCTTTCAGATTCAACTCCCGCTCAGCCTCAGCCTCTCCCTCACTAGCTTCCAAGACCTCACCGCCAATACTCACCCAAGGTGGTCCCCTCCTAAATGTTCCCAAGCAGTCGTTCATTTACCGCCAAGTCCAACGGTCGCGCCGTGTCGATTTCGTGTGGGAATGGTTCGTCGGCGATGCTTCTTGTCTCTCAATCCGTGGTTAGCCACGCATCTTTAAAACAGCAGTTCTCTCGCATTTCAACCTTCAAGTTTCTCTAGTGCAATGCCAACTCTCTCCGTTGTGCTCTTCAATCTCCGCAACTTCAACCTCTGTCCGCGTCACTCGCCTTCTCGTCCAAGGGTGGAACCTCCGTCGGTTCAATGCAACCTGCTTCAAACTGCAACCTGCTCGGGCTGTCCCAGCTCACGACCTTCAGCTTCTGTCGTTGCAAGGCGGAAGCTGTTGGAGATCCACAAGCCTCTTAAGCATCCCGACTTCCAGCTCAAGGTAGACAAAGCTTCATTCTTAATCTCATGTATTGTACCGAGCTCAATCATTTCGTGGCTTCACAACATAACATGTACTGATCTAAATTACATTTCCATTGTGCAGTGAGGAATGATGAAGACGGTCGTCAACTTTGCGAGGCGTTCAGCCTTAACTTTGCAGCATTCATTGCGACGGTGACAACCGTCCAGCCTTCTTCGCTCTCAAGTGCCATCCTGAGTTCTTCACCAGCCTCCTGTTCAACTTTCCAGCTAAGTGCTCCTTCCGCTACTGTCAGATTTCTTTTCCGTTTTTAAATTCGGTCGTGCTGTTTATTTGATTTCCAGCCAAAGCGCCACCCGTAGAGCTCCCTGTCTCCTCCCCTAGGTCTGGGTTAGTCTCTCTAGGTCCGTCTAGCGTCAGCGTCGCTAAGTCAAGCATAGCTGCGTCGGTCTGTCTGAGCTCTGCGGTGTGATTGCTTTGGCTGGAAAACATTCCCCCGTCCCCCACACTACTTCGTCGCTTTTTGTCGTTTAAAGGCGTCCTCTCGTTACTTAAACTGACTTCTTTTCTTGTTGCTGGCAGGTACTCCTCTAATGCTTCTAATCAACTGGGAGAAGCACGGCTGGCGTTCAACAATACAAGACATCTTGCAAGCCAAGGCTTCGAACAAGACTTGCAACCCCACGTACAGATAAGTATCGTTTTCCTCCTTGTTCCTTCATTTCCGTTCATCATTGTTATGCTTTTTCATGCCCACCATGCTTAAGCGCTTACCACAACTGCTGCATGAACCATCCCCCTTAAAAGGTACAGGTTTTTTCTTAAGGTACCCTTTTCTGGTGAGTCCCTAGGTTCTCTTCTGGTATTTTTTTGGTACTTGGTTCTTGTTGGCTGTGGTGGTGAGCGCTTTTGCTGCATGCATCTGCACATCCATACATACCATTCATCATGCATATGCTTGCTATTCTCGTCTGGACCTTCCAGTGCCGCTTGAGCTTACCCCCCCTCCCCCCTCCTTTGACTGGCAGAAACTCATCAACTCCATCAACCGCGTCGGAGCTGCAAGGCGCTTCAACGCTTCGAGTCAACGTTCAAGTCTTGAAGCCAACAGTTGGAGCCAATTTCAAGACTTCTTCAACTCATGTCTGAGCCCTGAGGCCAAATGAAAAGTTAAGTATTCCTCGACCTTGGCTTCTCTTTCGTTGTTTCCTGTTGGTCATGTTTCTGCTATTTCAGCCATCATCATTACATTTTCGCCCTCAATTGCGTAGCATACATGCTTGGGCGCTCATCATTACCACCTCTTGAGCCTTCCCTGGTATTTTTTTTAAGGTACTCTTTTCTGGTGAGTCCTTCAGGTCCCTTAAGGTTTTTTTCTGGTATATGGCTCTTGTGGCTGTGGTGATGAGCACCCTTGTATCCATGCTACTGCATTCTCCACCCATCATGCATGGATATGCTTGCCCCTCTGGACCTTCTACTGCCTCCTGTACTCATACACCCCCCTCCCTTTCCTTCACTCGCTTTGCAGGTTCCTCAACACTGAAGGCCTTTTACTGATGCCCACCTCTCAGCATGATCAGCATGGTCGGGAGTCAATCATTTCAAGCCTTAAGATTGAAGGTTCTCAAGGTAAGGACTGGTTCTTTTGACAGTTTTTATGTGTGGCACATTCACTAACATTCCACTTTCTTCCTGCAGGAGTTTCAATATGTCAACGGACACTTTCCACTGAGGAAGGCCAAGAGTCTATTATCTGAAGTCCAATGTTTCAAGCTTCTCTCAAAGGGTAAGTTTAATCTTCTGGCAGTTTTAATGTGTTGCACACTCACTAACATTTCGTTTTTCTTCCTGCAGGAGCTTCAACATGTCAACGGACAATTGCCACTGAAGATGGCCAAGAGTTAATTATCTGAAGTCCCAAGGTCCAAGCTTCCCTCAAAAGGTAACAATGTTATTTTTTTTGCAGTTTTTTTGTGTGGCACACTCACTAACTTTCCCCTTTCTTCCTGCAGGAGCTTTAACATGTCAACGAACTCTTTCCACTGAAGATGGCCAAGAGTCTACAATCTGAAGTCTCATGTTCAAGCTTCCCTTAAAAGGTAACATTCTAATATTTTGGCAGTTTAAGTTTGTGACATGTTACTAATATCTTCACTTTATCCTGCAGGTACTTTAATCGGAAGATCTTCAATGGACACCTACCACTTGACTTGAGATCCAAGGCCTTCCAAGGTAAATCTTTATTTTCCAGCATCAAGTTCGTGTGGTATATAACATTTACTAACACTTCTCTCTCGTCCTGCAGGTTGTTCAACATGGAAGACTTCAAATGACAGCCATCACTGAAGATGCTCAACTCAGCAATCAAGGTATTTTTTTAACCTTTTAGCAGTTCAGTTCAATGCTTACTGCATTCTTGCACACTCTGACTGAGGACTGATTAATCTCGTTTTCTTTGTGCAGGTGCTGGAGGCGGATGCATCTGGCATGGCAAGTGGCATTACGGCATAAGGAGGCAATTCATGGTGCTGAGGGCCCTTGGGGTTGTCTAAACACTCGGATCCGGGCCATACAGCAGACTGATCTGTCGGTACAGAGCTGACTGCAGCAGCTCTGTATCGGCAGATTCAGTCTGTGAGAATGGGCTCCCGCATGCCTTGGATTTAGCGCCTCTGAGGGTAGGCCAGTCCTCCCTGTGGTGGGGGAGGATGGTTATGCCTCCAGCAGCCAGTCGCCATGCCTCCAGCAGCCATTTCTTTCAGGGAAAGACAGCATCCATGTGAGTCGTTTTGTTTGCTCTAGGGTTTCTGCTTCCACCTTATGCCTGAATACTAACGCTTTCTTTTGTGCTCTGCAGGTACCTTACATTATGATGATTTGCCGTAGCAGCAACTGTAGTGGCATCTCCTACCGAGTAGCAGCAACATGCTCTAGGACATGCTAATGTTCGGTAATATCTTATGTATACTCAACACTTCCATTCTTGAAAGCTGAAAGCATATGTAGAACTAGCTGGTGAGGAAACCATGTCGTTGACATACAATGTTTGCAAAGCACAAAGACATCGAGTGATTGCACATCGAGGTATATGTCAACTTGGAAACTGCCGCGCTAACATTGCGGATCAAACAAATTTGCAAAGCAGCAGCCGTCCGAAATCGCACGGCTATGACTCCCGCCAAGTGCGGCCATATATATTCGTCGACTGCCATCACCTGCTGACCATGTCGGACTCGCGTACTTTCGATCCTGTCGCAGCCGCACCCTCCGTTGCGTCCTCCACCGACTTGCATCTTCGCACGCGGTTAGGGACTCAATACAACGATGCCCGTTCTCCCGTCAACTCACGCGTTGCAGAGGGGACCGACGAAACCCGCGCAGATCCCGGCAGCAGCGGCGGCGGCGGCGGCGGCGCAGCATGGACGCCATTCCGGCGGGACCTGGTGGTGCTGGGCGCGGCGTTCCTCGCGCTCTTCGCGGCGTACAGCGCCATTCAGAACCTCGAGACGTCGCTGCACCCGCGCGCCGGCATGGGCGCCGTGTCCCTCGCCGTGATCTACGGCGGCATCGTCGTGTTCGCGCCGCTCGCGCCCGCCGTGATCCGCTATTTGCGGCCGCGAGGCGCCATGCTGGTGGGCATGTCGGGGTACTGCGCGTACATCGCCGCCAACGCCGTCGACTCCAGGTACCGCCATCGCCCAGGCCGCGCTCGCGAGGCAGGCAACACGCACGAGAAATCCTCAACAGCCTCGGCAGCGAACGATTGCTTTATTCCGCGATCCTCGCCTCCTGTAGAACCAAACCGCAACGCGCGCTGCTGTGCATCCTCTATGTGACGTAATTTGCTTCCTTACCCCAACCCTCCGCTCTTCCCCCCTCCCTTGCCACCTCGTCCCCGTCAGCGCGCAGCTGGGTGCTGCTGCTGTCCGCGGGGTACTTGGGCGCGAGCGCGTCCGTGCTGTGGGTGGCGCAGGGGCTCTACAGCGTCATGCTCGCGCGCGGACACGCCGCCGCCGCGGGCGTGGCGGAGCAAGCAGCAATCGCGGAGTTCAGCGGAATTTTCTGGGGAATCTTCGCGGCGAACCAGGTGGTGGGCAACGCCGTCACCTTCCTCGTCTGCCAGCTCATGGCTCTCCTCTTCCCCGCTGCTCCTGCTGTGCCTTCTGCGTTTGCTACTCCCGCTGCTGCCTCCCCTGAGAGCCTTCCCCCCGCTACAGTCACGGTGCTGATAATCACGTTTCTGCTTTTCCTCGCGCTGGCCGCCGCGCTGACGTGGCGGCTGACTGACCTGTCAGAGGACCACCCCCTCTGCTGGCCCGCGCCCGCTCCCCTCGCGGATGGTGCGCTGGTGGGGGGAGGGAGAGGCGGCATTACAGGGGAAGACGAGGAGGAGGGGAGTGAGAGGGGGGATGACGGGGAGGGAAAATCTTTGCTGGGAGGCAAATCGGTGGCTGGGCGAGCGGAGGAGCGGGGGGCGGTGGAGCAGTCAGGGGCGGCAGGAGGGGCGGGGGAGGGGGCGGGCAGCAGGGCAAAGGGGGGACGCAGCGCGTGGGAGCTGTTGGGTGAGCGGCGGCTGCAGCTGCTGCTGCCTCTGCTGCTGTACATCGGCCTGCAGTCCGCCTTTGTTGCGTGCGTCCCTGTCCCACGCCCATGCCCCTTCCGCCCTGTCTCTTTCTGCCATATCCTATCCTGCCACGCCCTGTCACGCCCTGCCAGTAATACTGTGACTACCCGTTCACCTATGCCCAATCAGGGACCCTCCATTGCCCCTCATGTACCGTCCTCCTTTCCCCCCTCCCTGCCTGTCACATATCACATCCTCCGTCCCCTGTCCTTCCCCACCACCTCCTCCCCCCACTCCCCAAGCGCAGGGCGGATTTCACGCTGTACGTGGTGCGCCCAGCGCTGGGAGTGGCGTGGATCGGCGGGGTCATGTCCGTGTTTGGCGTCGCCAACAGCCTCGTGAGCTGCCTTCTCCCCTGCTTGCATGCCATGCCCCCTGCCGTATCATCACTCCCTTGCTCTGTGTGCTCCCTGCCTTCACATGCCATCATGCTCGCACGATGCAGAGAGCATCGTCCACATGCTTCCACATGCTCCCTCTCCCTCCCTTCCACTCGTCCCCACCCAGGCGTGCATGGCAGCGGCGCGCCTGTCATCGGGGCTGCACTCCATCCTCGCCACGCTGCTCATCGGTGCCGCCTGCCAGATCGCCGTGCTGCTCTCGCTCATGCTCCTCGCACCCTTGTCAGTGCCGCTCTACACTGAGCCGTTTACATACCCTGCCGTACTAAAAATCATACCGTGTCTTTTCCATACCTGGCCGCGCTATCGCGTGCATTGAATTTCTCGTACAGTACAATATGCTGCAACTATGGATGTTTTTTAAAGTGGTTTTCTCCCTCTGTCCGACTCTCCATCCCCGTTGTGACCCATTCTCCCCTACCCCTCCTCCCTTGTTCCCACCTCCCCAACCTCCTTCTCCCGCCCTCGCTCACCTGTCCGCCCCAGCACCGCCCCCTCGTGGGTGGCCTTCACAGTGGTGCTGGTGCAGGCAGTGCTGTGGGGGGTGGGGGATGTCGCCTTCCAGTCACAGATCAACGCACTGCTGCCCCTCGTCTTCCCTCGAGACATGGTGCACCCCTCACCCACCCCTCACTGCCTCCTTCAACCGCCATGTTAATGCACCCACGCTTCCTTTCATCTGTAACTCTGCTCCCACCCATTGCCACAACGCACCGACAATCCCTCCCCCCATCCCCCACCCTCCCCGTTTCCTTGACCCATTGCCTCGCCACCACCCATTCCCTGTCATCACCCACCCCATGCCTCTCCAACCGCTCACCGCATCTCCCGCCCTTCCCACTCCTCCAACTCATTACAGGACGCCTCGTTTGCGCACATGAAGATGTGGACCAGTGCCGCCTCGTCCCTCATGTTCCTCCTCAGCCCGCACCTCTCTATGCCCGCCAAAGCAGCCTTGCTCACCGCCTCCTGTGCTGCCTCCCTGCCTCTCATGCTCGCGGTTGTGCACGTGCCATAGGCCGCAGCTACCGTATGTGCTGCATCGCTGCCTCTCTTTCTGTGTTGTACGTTATGGTATTTGCAATCAAGTGTTTTCATTCCAATGCTGCTACCATGGTATGGGGTGGCCAGACCACTGACTGAGTGAGCAGATGGCACACTGGGTAGGAGTTGGGTACCATTAGTTTCATTAGTTACTACGGTAACATAAAGCATGGTTAATCAGGACGGGACCATCATGTCAAGTCAGAGGCGTTGGGAGCTGCAGTCCTCATCACACAAGGAAGTGACGCAGACGCCTGTCCCTCTCCTGTTCTATTAGAATAGCTGCTGTAGATAATAAATTATACACTAACCTATACCTAGTGAATGGTGCAAATGCAGCATTTGCGACTCATTCACCGCGCCACGTTTCACAGCTGCTGCTGTTTCACGCGGACGTCGGCACCACGCCTCCTGACGCCGCCGCAGCAGCCGCCCCCGCGATGCGGCGCTGGTGCAGCGCAGGCACGGCGAGGACGCGGCGCACGACGCGGCCGCCGAAGGCATGGACGAGGATCCAGGGGTGGGAGAGCAGTTTGGCGGCGGAGGGGCGTCGGCGCGGGTCGCGGTGCAGCATGCAGCGGAGCAGCCCCTTGGCCTCCGCCGACACCCCCGCCCACGCGCCGCTCGTCAGGTCCAGCGGCGCCTCCAGCACGGCGCGGAACACGCCGTTGTCGTCCGCGCCCCAAAACGGAGGGCTGCCGCTCAGCAGCACGTACAGCACCACGCCCAGCGACCACACGTCCGCCTCCACCCCGTACTCCCCTGTCAGTACCTCCGGCGCCATGTAGAACGGCGACCCCGCTGCGCCGTAGGCTCGCTCGCCCTGCTTGAGTCCGATTGCGAGGCCGAAATCGGCGAGTTTCGCGCAGGTTACGTCTGTACCCGATAGATTCTGTTTCGACAAGAGAATGTTCTCCGGTTTGAGGTCGCGGTGCATGACGCCTTTGGAGTGGCAGAATGCAACGGCGCTGGCAATTTGGCGAAAGATAAGAGCAGCTTCTTTTTCTGGTAACCTGCCGCGTCGCACAACTTCGTCGAAGAGTTCGCCACCGTCGCACAGGTCCATGACGAGGTGAACCTGTCGCTCGTCTTCGAACACCGCGCGCAGCTGCACCACGCCCGCATGCCCCGCCACGCTCCGCATCGCCGCCACCTCGCGACGCACCTCGTCTCGCATGCGGTCGTCCACTAGCTGCTCCTTGCTAATCGTCTTCACCGCGAAAGTTTCGCCTGTCGTGCGGTCCGTGCATTGTCGCACGACGCCGAATTCACCCGACCCGAGCAATTGTGCCTCTGAGGCGAAGTAGTTCTCGAATCGGGCCGTCGACTCGCCGAATATTGACGTGCAAGAACCGGCGTCGGTTGCATCCGACGACAATTCCGCTGCATTTTGGAGCTCTAACCGCCGTTGATGCTTCGCGCTCTGGGAGTCTGCCGACGGCGAGTCCGCCGCGTCTGCCTTGCGCTTCTTGGGCACCTCTAGAGTGCGCGTTCGCCTGTGCTCTAACGTTGCCGTCGACGCCTGTGGTAAGGGTGACGCGCTCGAGCCTGACTGCGCCATTGAGCCTGACTTCACGGGTGAAACTTCTCGTCAAATGCGAGTCGTTTGTTCTGTGTGTTGCAGCAGACCTATGAAGAAAACCCGGAAGAAGCTTCTATGATAGAATGGGGCACGTAGCAGACTTTGGAGCTAAAAAGGCGGTGGCGGTAGGCAGCGGCGGGAAGGTTGGGGGTGGTGGACTGAAAGCGGCGACCACGCAACGCACAGCTGGTGTAACGCGTCTGCTCCAATTGACTTTACCCCCACAGAGGAGCCGCAGGGGCCGCAACTCGAGTCGCGTGTCGCACGGGCAGCGTCGATCCACCTGAGCCGAAGACAGCACGTTGCTAAAGGACACCTACGTTAGCCCCCCTGGTGTGTGGGTGTTACTCCCCTGGCTTGTTTCAGTTCCGATTCTCATCCCCGTTGCTTTCCATGTCACGCGCGGGCTGTTTTGCTGGTGAGTAGTGACGAGTGTACAGCTGTAGGTGCTGAGTGAAACCGTGCTTGGGAACTGGTGAGTCGTGCTTTGCACTCAAATTCCCGAATTTGCCCGAAATGCACCGAACGTACCGATATAAACAAACTCGTGCTCTGTGATTGAACCGCCCTGCAGCAGAAAGCCCGACTGCTGTGAGGCGTGGGCGTCATGATGGCGGTTCCTAGGACCCTGCTTTGACGTCACGCTTGCTGAACTGAATGCTCGCAGTTACGTAGGTTCTGTACCAAGGAAAGTTGGAAGCGGCGTGAAAGCCTCAAGTTCCAATAAACCGTCAAGATCAAGGTCTAGGTGTCCCCTCGCAAATGGTGGAAAACAGACAGGTTGTTACCTAAACACCAGTAAGGAAAATAAGCCAGGTTCTAAACAATTTCAGAGTACCGCACAAAGGACTGCTTCATTCATGTGATTCACGTGAAAGGCAAACGAGAATGCTTGAGGCACGTGAATCGACTTCCGTCGCAGGCGCGATACGGTTTCCCCCAGCTGCCAAAGACTCTAGGAAAACCTGCACACAAACGACCCCAACAAGAGCGGAAGGCATCGGTCTCACCCGATGAAGGAATCCTCTATAGCAAATAAGCTGAAGTTCACACTCAAAACTTATATACTGCCATCAGAATGTGTAATTTTATCATGATGCTTATCACGCAAAAGTCAATACCGTAGGTAATCCCAGACATTCAAAACCCCCGGAAATGAGAGCTGTATGGAGGTAATAGTATCCTTACCAATCTAGCATATTATCGTTCTCTCAGAATCATTGTCATTTCATTTCCGCAAACTATATTCCAGGGTTGTTGTAAATACAATTTTATTATTTATTGCCAGGAATCAGTTTTGTGATGTGTCATGCATTTTTTCATTCTCAAATCTGTTACGAATAGTGATTGTTGAAACACTATTACACACTCCTCACCGCAGCAATCAGAGCACGTACTACCGAGAATGAAGACGGACAGGCGGAGGTGACACGAAGAGTCACACGGTTACGAAAGGATCTGGACCGTCGGGCAGACAGCATCATGCAGCAGCAGTGGCGAGGATTCTGCCCGAACAGTTTCGTAACTGTCCGGAGTCGCACGGTTGGATTTCGCTGCAATAAGGGAATGTACCCCTTAGAGTACATGGCTAGCTAGGTCAATTGGCATTCCCCTGTAATCTTATTTATATCCTTTGTATTGCATGTTTTTATCATCTCAAGCATTTACATTCACTCTGCTATTGAGGTCAAAGGGCCCACCACCACTAGACTAGAATTGTGCGAACCTTCCTGAGGTGATCCTGAGGGCGATCAACTTCTGATCCCAACATGGTATGAGAGCGACTCAGGAATCCTTCGCACCGCCACCACCGAAATATTCGGCGAACGGAAAGTGGCGTCCGGCACACGCTCACGTGTGAGAATGGCCGGAGGATCTGGAGGTCAGACGAATCTGACGGCTGAAGCGCAGACTAATCCAGCTGCGACAAACGAGGACACGACGACAATCCCTTCCGTCGTCCTCGCACAACTGCTCCAGCGACTCACGAGCCTGGAGCAAGGGCTCCAAACATTGCGGAATGGCGATGCGGGAACATCTTCCCAACCCACTCAACCGGCCTCGAACGGCCAGAACTCCGCCCCGCAAGGCTTCTCTCTTGACACAAACGGCTCAACACCCAAGACTCCCTGTCCCAGCGATGAAGCAATTCTCTCTGCGCAGTCAAGGTTTCTGAGCATATAAAAAATAAAGACAAGTGTGTGCTTTGACGGCAGAGACTTCTATACCTGGAGCTTTGAGCTGGAGCTGCTGCTGCAAAACGCGCAGATCTTTCACTACTTTGACGGGAGCTACACGGGACCCACAGAGGAAACTGACGACGCAAAAATCAAGTACTACAACGAGTCCCTGATGGCGTACGGGGTTCTTCTTCGAAATATGTCGCCGACGGAGCAATTGAGCATACGCTCATACAAAACTTCGCATGCTCCAGCCCTCAACGCCTGGCGCCACCTGAATAGTGTGTATCAACCGAAGGACTCGGTGTCGTCGAGCCGTCTTCTCCAGCAGCTACTGGAGACCACAATGGCACCAGGAGAGAAGGCCAACAGTTACCTGAATCGCTGTCGGAGCCTACGCGATCAAATCACGAAACTGGGGAGCACGATTTCTGAGGAAATCTTCGTAAATATCGTGCTCCAAGGGCTCGGCCCCGAGTGGCGGCCCTGCAAGGCGCTTCTCCGACAGCAGGGGGTCATCTCGGAGGCCGCCCTTTGCGCCGCCCTCCTCGTCGAACAAAGGGATATGGACCAGCAGCGACCAGCGCCACGACGAGAGAGAGAACGTCTCGCCTTCTACGCGGACAACACGGAAGAGCGACGGCCACGGCGCCTCTACTGCAAAATCTGCAGGAATTTCGGGCACTTGGCGGACCGATGCAAGCATCGATCTCGCCCTCGACAGACCAATCCGAGCACCTGGTCCGGCCGACAAGACGCGAGGAACGACACGCGTCCCGCCCAGGGGTATCAACCCCCATCGCGTAACCTGAATCCGACAACTCAGCAGCAGCAGTCATCACAGACTGCCCCCGTCCGCAATGTCATGGGGAACATGACCATGACGAGCGGCTCTCGTCGCCCGCGCGCGCGCTCACTTTCACCCGAGCTGGCGCCTGACCCAATCGAAGCGTCCCCGAACAACAATCCGTTCAGCACGCATCACGACTTCAGCGACGACAACAAACAGGCCTGGAATCTCCCAGTCCCGCTGCTTGAGAGCCCCCCGCACGTACCTGACATGCGGCCGGCACCGATCGACTGGATCGCACGCGAACAGTTCTTGAAGGTTGACACTCCACACATCGTCACTCCGCGACTGGCGCTGCTCGCGCGAAACGATAACAGGCGCTACAACACGTGGTACCTGGACAGCTGCTGTGGGCAGCATATGGTGGGCTCTGAGCGTTACATATCCAACGCCATCGCCACCCCCGCCGTCACTTACGTCACTGTGGCGAACAACATGCGGCTGCGCGCAAGCGCGCAAGGCATTGTTGTGCTCAAGGCACATGGGAGCAGAACGCACATCACCTTGAATGACGTGTTGATTGTGCAGAACCTGCGTTTCAACCTGCTCTCGGCGGCGCAACTCCTGGATTGCGGAGTCATTCTCAGCACCGACCCCGAGACGCGCGATATTCTACTCCACTACACAATGCCGAACAAGGTGCACAGGCAGATCGGACGGGCGCACGCCGAGAACGGAGTATACGTCCTCGACTTCGACATTCCCGACTGCAGCGGCGATTCGCAGGAGTTGATTGATCTCGTCCCCCTGCGCTTCGAACATATTCATCGCCGCGACTGGAAGCACCCTGATGGACGCCCCTGGGTGCCTCACCACCCACATCCGCGCGAGCTGGCGTTACACGACCCTGATCCTGATGGCATCTGCAGGGACTGTCATACACCCACATCCTCGACAAGCGCGATCGCCGGCCGCGGTCTTGCCGCTATTCTCGAAGCAGAACGCGACGCACCGCCTGAGGAGGGCCTATCGCAACTGGAGCTGGAAACAGCCACACGGGTCGTCTTCGGCACGCCGGAAAATCCTCTCCCCGGGCCCGCTTCCAAGCACCTCCAAGGGATGCTTCGCGGCGTCAGAGTCGGCACCTTCGACGCACAAGGCAACCCACGGCCCTACACCGAAGAAAAGGCGGCAGCGATCTACGCTCACCGGCGCGATTCAAAGCAGAAACTCTCGCCGGCGGAAGAAGAGGCACTGGCGCGACGCGAAGCCGAAGAGCTTCGGCAGAAGAGCCTCACTGAGGCGCGCGGAACACTTGCTTGGGAGGACGACAAGGAAAGCGCCTCCAATGAAGGGGGGTGGGGGAGCGCTGGCGGGTGGGGAACAAGCGACACAGGCGGCTGGGGAGCCGCAACCGGCGGCGACACGAGCGGCTGGGGAGCCGCAACCGGCGGCGACACAGGCGGCTGGGGCACAGGCGGATGGGGCGCAGCATCTGGCGGAGAAACGAGCGGATGGGGAGCTTTCCGCGAGGATCAAAGGGGGGAAGCGGAAGAAGAAACAGCGCAAGCTGAGGTCGAACCTCCTGTTGTTCCTCTTGGACGCCCTCCGCGCCGCCCTGCATTAGGACCACCGCCACCTGACATCCCTTCAGGTAGTGACCCCTGGGACACCATTGACTGGGGTAGTGAACCACTCACCCCGCGACGCACTATCTACGGACCTGCCCCTGAACCGCGCGAACTGACATTTGTCCTTGGCACGATCCCCGGAACCAACATCCCCTACTCCATCATTCGCGACAGAGAATTTCTCGCCCTAATGTTAAAAACGGCGAACGAAGAAGACGAAGCAGAAGAAGCAGCGGCGACTCTGCAGACGGCACCTGATGAAGACCGGCAGAAGCACTCGCGCGCTACATGCGCACCTCCGGATTCCGCGCTGACGACACCATCTGGCACCAGCGCCTAGGTCACCCCTCGCGCGTGACCCTGAAGAACTGCATCGAC